GGAAGGAAGGAAGGAAGGAAGGAAGGAAGGAAATGGGTTGGAAGGCTTTGGTGGTGGTGTTAATTCCACCCCATAGACTATGCCCATTCTTGCCCCAATGCCCCACTCTATGTGGTTCTTTCTCATGGAAAAGTGCTGCCCTATCTCCACCTTGGCCTGTTTTTCCAGTATTATGGAAGGCAGTTTCAGTGCTAAATCAGTACTGAGGGGTCAAGTATTGCCAAACCAGCTGCTGTTCGGGATTTTGTCACATTCTTCTGCATGCTGGTTTCTTCCTCAGAGCAGCAAATCTTCATGTGCTGCCTTGAAAGTCTTGTGCATGTACCCATGATAGTATGATGACCTCAACCATCATCAACAAGTGAGGCTGTAACATCTTGTAGTGTCCTCTTCAGTTGAGCTCCTAAATGAGGTAAGCTAAGCATTTCCTTCAGGATCAGCAAGTCCAGTTGCAATGGAGTGATTCATCCATTTAATCCATGGATGTGGGAGAACCATCTTTCTCATCTAGGACCAAGCTGAATGTAATTTAGCTGCACAATTGGTAAGCAAAATGGATATATTTTTGTTTAAATGCTGGTGTTTCCAGTTAGCCAGTGCTAGCCAATGCTGGCTTTGAACATTCAGCTGTTGACCTCCCAGTGAATTGCTGCACACTGTCTAACTGTGTCCTCCTTCAGCATTCCCTGCTGAGATGACCCACCATCATTCTTCCCATAATTAGCTTCTAAAGGTTATTTTCATCTCTATGCTGATGTGAATAAAGTGTGTAAATTTGCAACTGTTGATTTCTGACAATAGTGAAGCTTTTCCAGTAATATTTCTAGCTTCAACTTTCATCCTGTTTTCTATGCAGTTTCACAAGGATCTTTGGCAGCATCATATCTCAAAGGCTTCAGTTTTCTTTCAGCAGAATTAGCTTTTCACAGTTTCTGCCTGGAGTTTGCTGTGGAAGTGATGGAGTTTTTCACCAATCAGGTTTTCAAATAATTCACAATGTAGTTATTTGCAGATGATCTTAAGGCAGGTGTAAAAATTGCTGAATTGCTGGGTTCAGCTCCTGTAAATGCACATTACCTTGATTAAGCCAATCTTTAATTTCTCAGCAGTGATCTCCTTTATTAAACCTGTGTGATCCTATGTAAATGAATTCAGCTATTGCATATCAGTTTGTCATTAATTATAAAATTGCTTATGTCCTCTTTTGTAAGTCAGTGCACAATGTATTTTCCTGCTGGTGTTAATGATTTAATTTAATCTAGTGGGGGTCAGCCATTCATGAGAGTAGAACTTTGGTGAAAGTACATTATTTTACCTGTGTTAAAACACTACCTAGGCAAGGAGACCAGAGGTAATACCCAAGAACACTAAGGAAATATTCTGTTGATTGCTCCAGTTGTCAGGATATGGGATGTTGGATTGTGAGTTATTTTGCTCTTTGTGTAATTTCAGGCAATATATGTATATTTTTTAGTTGATTTCTTCTTGGAACATCTTCCATATGCTAGAATATTTAAAGTGTGTTTTTAAATAGTGACTGGCAATATGCAAAACACCATTTTAGCATGAATGAGGTCATATGCTACTAAAATGCTACTTATACTAGGACACCGAGATGAATTGAAAGTAGCACAGCTAAAAAGTGAAGGCAACAGGTGTTTTATTAATTGCAGATATTGGCTTCTTAAACATCTGTAGGATAACTGCTACTTCATCCTAAAACTTTCAAAATTTGCATGTTTCCACTACTGAATATCAGTAAGTCCCAGTTTTCCTAATTTAGGGTATATTCCTTTAAGGTGTTTTTGACTAATAAAATGTGATATCCTCTTCTAGCACATCACCACTTTCATAATGTGATGTAGGACCAAAATAATTTTGGTTAGATACCAGGAACCTGATTACTAAGAGTATTCTGAAAAAGGAACAGGGCAGGCTGTGCTCCTACACACAAAAACAAACAAACAAACAAACAAAAAAAAAACCAACATAAAAAACACCCTGGAGTTATCAGCATTCTGTAATTTTCACAGAGATGAGTGTAAGGTGTATGTGCAGTCTGTCAGGAAGAAGTATTTTTTGTGTTGCAAGAAATCGGAGAGTAATTTGTTTTGGTGCAATTATTTTAATCACCTCCTTAGTAAGTAAGAATTGTGAGATTTATCTCTACCCAAATGCCTCGGACAATTAAATTGAGCAAGTCAACAAAGTGCAGCATCCTAGACTTCAATTTCCCCATTGTTTAAAATTGAGATCTTCCCTAGTTTACTCTTATAAAGTAATTTAAAGAACTTTTTAAAATATGCTGTTTGAGTCCATGTTGTTGAGAGTTTTAGCACAATCGTCCCAAGAATAGATAGTTGATAAAGCAATTACAGTCAAATCATTCATTCTGATGCTTAAGATCTGATCTTCTGTATGCAGAATGCTATAACAGTCTCACATTTTAAAAATATGCCACCTCCCATAAAGCACTAGTTTCAGGTGACTAATCATTGTGTATAGCACAGAGCTGATATTTAAATGCAAATCGGGGCCTTTTGGTTTGTGCCATTTTGGATCTTAGCCCATAGTTCAGAGGCAGCACACTTCACAGAAGCTTCACACAGTGTAACTGTGTCCAGTTCTGGGCTCCTCAGGACAAGAAAGACATGGAGCTTCTGGAGATGGTCCAGCAAAAGCCACAAAGATGATGAGGATTCTGGAGCATCTCTTATGAGAAGAGACTGTGGGAGCTGGGCCTGTTTAGTCTGGAGCAGACTGAGATGAGATGAGATGAGATGAGATGAGATGAGATGAGATATCTCAATAATCCCTACAATATTTCCAGGGAGGGTGACAAGAAGATGGTGCCAGGCTCTTGTCAGTGGTGCCCAGTGACAGGACAAGGAGCAATGGCCATAAGCTGCACAAGAAGTTTTACCCAAACATGAGGAAGAACTTGTTCCATGGAGTGAGGCAGAACACTGGAACAGGGAGCCCAGGAGTCTTGTGAAGTTTCCCTCTCTGGAGACATTCCAAACCCATTCCTGTGTCACCTGCTCCAGGTGACCCTGCCTTGGCAGGAGGGGTTGGACAGGGTGATCTCCAGAGGTCCCTTCCAAGCCTAAAAGCTCTGTAATTCCCTGAGTCTGTGAATAATACAGATTTAACTGGAAACAGTGAAATTCAAAAAAACGTGGATATAGTGGCTACAACACATAAAATGATGATCTACTTAATTTGCAAGTGCGCATGCTATTTAAAGTGAGTGCAACTGAAGTGTCAGTGTGGAAATGTGGAGTGTCAGAGCCATCTGGAAAAAAGCACCCTGCCCTGTTCAGACATCATTTATGTCCAAGACCCTTGCTGTCATGGAAGTCACTGGAAGTTTTGCCTGTCTTAAGATTTCATGTAGAGAGCCTTTCTTAGTCTTTACTGTAATGGCATGTAATGAAAGTATGAATACCATCTGAATACCATTTGTCCATACAAAGCAATATCTTATGATCTGGGGAAAACTCTGGCTCCATGAAAACTGATGCAGAATATTTTTTGTGACTCCATTGGAGCCAGGATTTTCTGTATCTTCCAATACTTTCACAGTAATTGGATGTGCAGCTGGACATCAATAATAATGAGCTGATAATATTGAGTTGTAGAATGTTATTTGCTGTAATGGTTGTGATCAGAGGCAAATCTGTCTTCTGCCCCTTCCAAAGGAGACATGTAGGGAGGAGCCCTCAATCTTTTCAGAAAGACATTGAGAGAATAGAAAATGGTCAGTGTAGTCATAGGTGCAGTCCACCTTTCCACCAGCTGTGTGGGCCAGAGCTCTGAAATCCCACTGCAGTTAAAGACAGCCTCAAGAGATACCTAACTAATGGTGTAGCTGTCCAATGCCTTCCCATTCCTGGAGTAAAGGTAGTGTGGGTAGGATATTTTTGCAGTTCAGTAACTTGGAAGTATAAAAAAGGTCTTTTGAGGCCACAACTGGCAGATTCCAGAGTTTTACCCTGGTGAGATCAGTCCTGGTCTAGGGACAGAAGGTGAGAGAGTGAGGAAGGATGAAAATTTTACTTTAGCCCTTCATGTATTTATTTGTCCAGCAACCTCTCTATATGTCAGCCAAGGGAATCTAGGAATGTATCTATATAGATCTGGGTTAGATAAGCTCTTTCCATTAGGAATTTAAAGATGAAATATACCTTCACATACATTTTGAAGGAGACCCCCTTTTCAAGCACAAAACAATAAAGATATTCTGTAAAATCATTCTGTAATTGTTCTTCATTTTTTTCCACTTGTTCCCATGACAGTGGTAGCACTCAATCAAAGAAGTCATGTAGGTAGTACATGTGCATGACAGGGATTAAACTTTTATTTTCTGACAACAGAAAATAAAACTTTAAACTGAAGAAATTAATCTCTTGTAATACTTCAAGATTTATCTCTTAAATTTCTTGCCAGTAGTTTGAAAAAAAAAAAAAAGCTATCTGAAATCACACTAGGAAATCCTCTGAGTTCAGTCAAATCTCTGAATCAGCTTCATTTATCACTGCCATCACCGGCTAGTCTATAAATACATCTGCTTTTATATCTGCTTTTTATAGCATTCTGAGATTTTCTGTTATCTCCTCAGAAGAGAAGGGCTAGTGGCTTCTCTTAAACCTGGCTTAGTCAAAGCCAACACGAACGGAAGCCTAAGAGGCCAAGTCCATCAGTTGTTGTTAGCTTTGACAGTCACTGCTATCATTTGAGAGTGTGCTTGTAGCCAGTCCAAGTTGGCAGTGTCAGCCCAAGCTGATTGGAGCTGCAGACATTTTTGCTGACTGGAGTCATGCTATCTTTGCCAGTTTGCTGGAATAGACACAGACACTGATTGGGTCATGCTGAAAACATTCCTGTCCTATGAAGCAAGTCTGTTTGTATTTCAGGTTTGCCAGGACTAATGAATTAAATATCTTGGGTTCACCACAGTTTGCTGTTTAATAATGCCTGTAACAGAAGGATTTTTTCCTCCCTGAAGTGTGACAGCATCCTAACTCCTCATCCCTGGCAAGGAGAGGAAGGAAAATCAGAATTGTGGAAAAGAGTTATCTTTTGGGACAGCAAAGCCTATGGGAAGTGCAGGTAGCAGCATGTTGCCCTGACAGCTGTCTCAGCTTCTCAGACCTTGTCAGTTTGTTGCTATGCAGCAGGTGCAGCCTTTTCTTTTATTGAAGCTTTACTCCATAAAGGCAACGACAAGCCAAGGCAGTGGCTGGCCCTGGATTATACAAGTGCAGACACTCCGCTAAGTGAGGTAAGGCAACAGGTGTGAAAAAAATCTGTAGAGCTGTAACAGCATTTAATCTGAGTTCTGCTGCAGGTTTTTTACAGAGGAACAGCAGCCAGCCAGCTCTATAGGCAATTGTTGGGAAGATGAGAGCTGCTCATTAAATCTGATTAAGTTCCAGGTTGCCCACTCACTCTCATCTCTGTCTATAGAGACACTGTTCTTCATTCATGGAGAAAGCATGTGGGGAATTAGGGGTAGTTGGTCTGCATGTTTCATAATATCATCCTGTTTGCACACAGGCTTTTTCCGTCCCTCTCTGTTCTCTGTGATGGCTTTTTGTGATGAAGAGCTTGAGGATTTCGCAAAAAAAGGAGAGAAGGGATAAATGCAATATAAAAAATTGATAACAGAGTAAATGCTGTGTATAAGGATGAGATTTCTTTTTTTTTTTTTTTCTGAATTAGAATAAAATGAAAACTTTCTTTTGTGTTTCAATAGAATTCAGCATTTCTTACTGAAAGGGTATTGATCTTTGCCCTCCCTCTGCCCTCACAGAGTAGTATTTGGTTAAAAGAATTAATTTCAAAACATTGCACACCACAGAGTATGTGATTGGGATGAAAAAACAGTCTTGTAGCAATATTGTTATGGCAATTTAAAAAACTCCACTTGAGATAGTCAGTGTCAGAGAAAGTGTGCAAACAGCACAGAACAATGAAAAGCCTTGGTTTAAGGATTTGCTTATCACTTAAAATCTCTTCATTTGGAGAGGTTTTTTTCTTTACTTTGTATTGGGAAGTAAGGAAGGGAAATATGTTTAAGAATTTTGCATTGGTAATTCTTTTGTATTTTAAAAACAATGAGATGACCCAAATGTTTCTTATGAAGTCAGGGTCGGGAAGAGATCAGGAATGCTCAGAAGGTAAAAATTATTTACTCTGATGCAATGCACTTCAAAATAAAATATTTCAGTTGACTCCAAGGGTCTTTTTCTGAATCTAAAACATACATGGCTGCAATTTATTTGGCTTTTCTTTACCTCTGCTCCACAGATAACAGATACATTTTTGTGGGTCTTGAATAAGAGTAATGGGAAATTAAGAGCAATCACTGATATCCTTCATATACTAGCAGAAAGAGACACTTTCAGCTTCAAATAAAATTTATTCAAAGTAAGGATTTTATATTATTTGTTGTTATTGTAAGAAAAGATTATGAACTTCTAATAACAAGTAACCATATCACTCTGCGAGCTAAATATAAAGAGAGACAAAGTGAATAAACAAGAAATGCTGAAATTAATGGACCCAATGCAAATTTTATCCTCTTCCACTGATTGCATGGCATTGATGCCAGAGAAGTGTTTGATTCATTTGTATACCACCAAGGAGGATTATATTCCTGAAACAGTGTTCTGTTCTATTGACTTTTTGAGACTGCAAAATAATTCAGTATGAATTAGAATGACTTGGTAGAATTTTCATGCAGTACAATAGCTATTTTACTGTAAAAATGCAAGACTATTGGCTTAGGAAACTGGCTCTTGTTTTCACCAGCTAAAAGCTTTGTTGTCTGCTGACAATGAGTTAGTAAATTCATTGTATTTTCCTGACGAATTTGGTTTCTAATTCCCTAAGAAGTTTTTATGGTAATTTGAAAGCATAATTGTCCACATATTTGGTATGAATACAATGTGTGCTGGATAGCAGTCCAGAGTCCTAAAATAATTTCTTTGTGGGCAGATCTTTGCATGCACAAAGTCCCACTGACTTTACATTCTCCACACATGGTGCTAATCAGAAGATTAATATCTTTGAATTTTAGCAGCTTTGTGCTAGATAATCAAGGGGATTATTTGCATTCAGCTACTCAATAGAGTTTAACCAAAACTTTTCATTCAAAAGGTTAAATGTACATAGTAGAGCTCAGAGTACAACTTCTCAGGGGACAGAGATGTTTTAATTACTCTGTTAGAGATCAAAAGTAGCTCATTCTTTTATTGCTCAACAGTTCTTTAGTGCCATATTTGAAATGAACTAGGAGTTTTCTTAATGGACAGGGTTTCATCACGGTAAAATCACGTTTTGGAATCGATGGTCTCAGAAGAAAAACAGAGGACTGAGTAAGGTCCTAACCCAGGAGCTAAATCCATGCAGACAGACCCCTACACCTCCACAGGCTTCTACTGAAGAATCACCACCAAGGTTTGGAGACCCCATGAATTTTTGTCATGAAGTGTGTGACTTGCAGGCACAGTTGGACTGGGGGAGTATGGGTGGAAGGGTAGGAGGATGAGTGCCTCCTCATTGACACCATGTGGAGTGGTGTGCACGGTTCCAATCACAGAGCAGCCTTGGGGTCATGTTACTCTCAACTCCCCACCCCTTCTTCCTTCTTCACCTTCAGAGCCAGGCAGTATTGCCACAAGTCAAGGCTTGCTGAAGGGGCAATGGCGGGGAGCAAGCAGGTGAGAAGAGAGGCAGCTTCCTTTGCCATCGTTCTTTGTAATCTATAAATAGCAAAAATAAAAGCAGTCTGATTCTGCACTGAATTTCACTTAAATTCTTGTTAAATGGCAAAGTGAAATGGCGCTCCCTTGACTTTGATTCTATGCATCTAGCTAGGATGGGAAAGGCAGCTGTGAGTGCATGAAAAGCATTATAACTCGTTTGTTGAATGATGTCACATGCTCTGTAATAAATATATTTTTTGTATTATTGCAGCTGGAGCAAACAAGTAAAAGCATTGACTCAAGTGCCCACATGATCACCACCGCCAGGGTACCTGCTGATAAGCCGGTACGAATTGCCTTCAGCCTTAATGATTCCCCAGGTACAGTTTAATTTATGGAATAAAACACAGTGCTTTTAAATTTAAACCACAACTGCTTTTAAATTTTACATTAACTTTCCAGTGTTTACAATATCAAATGTAGTCCAGTATAATGGATGGATTTTTCTTCATGAGTGGTAGCTTGTGGTCAGTTTTCCTGTCTGATAACTTTTAATGTTTCCATTAAAAATTTCATTAGACTAAATTCTCTAGATTGACAGTTTCTATCTTTACTTTCTCTCAGTGGTTTGTGGAATGCAATTAGGTCTGTAATTAACTATCAAATTTACCTGCATGTGCAGTACATCTGATTTTGTGGAATTGTAAAACAGGAAAAGTAAAAGGACAAATTTGCATGAGCCTAGAGGAGGAAGAGACTTTTTATAGGGGGAAGGTTGAAAAGTGCCACACATGCCCAGCTTGGTGAAAGGTTTCAGGAAACAGGTGCCCCACATGGCACGTTCTCTCAGCAGCAGAAATTTCATTGATGTTTATCCTGTCAGCTCATGCTGAGGAAGTATTAATTTCCCCAAACATACCCTGTACACACATGGACCCTTTGGAGTAGATAAATATTATTGGTTTGCACCTTCAATATTATTAAGGACCAGAGAGCTGTTAAATAAATGAAAGGGGAAGCTTAAAACCATCCAAAAAAAAGTTGGTTGTTGCTTTTGCTAAAGGTGAATGCCTGCAGTCAGGGCTGAGATGTGTTTATGGCATGAGGTATAAGGACAACTGAAACCCTATAAGCTTTATGGGACTCTTTGCATTGTAGGACAATGTGATGGTTGGTGCCTGAGGTTTGTGTAAACAGAATCTCAGCTTGAATGCAATTTTCTGTTTTAGAAATATTTTAGAATATGCATTATCTTTCCTAGCTAATTGTTGCATACTACTAATTTTCAGCGACAATACTGAAATACAATCTCATCCCCTAGCCAAGGGAATTAAAAACCAAACATCTTCATATGTTATTGAACCTAACTTTCAATTCGTAAAGATGAGTGACAAAGAAAGATTGGAACAAGGAATAAAAAGAAACATGTGATAATCTATGTGCCCTTTTTAATAAATTAAAATAACCTGGTAATTACATTTTTATTATAGAGAGCAGTAAGGAATCATTCACATCTCTCAAGATACAGTAAATTTCTTGCAGGAATTATGGCATAGATAGGGCTTGAAGAAAGATGTAAAAGAAAGGAGAGTGCTCTTACGAATTATGAAAAAAGAATGCTAATGTGAGACACTGAAAAAAAGTCAGGGAAAGCTGAGACCATGGGAAAATCAAAGAGAGCAGAGTGGTTTGTGACAAGAGACGGCAGTAGGAAATGACAAGGTTGTGAATAGCTTGCAAGAAGGGGACATGAAAGACAGGAAGCCTAACTTCCTTAACATTGCATCATATTTTATTTTCTACTTTTTTATCCTGCTAATAATTCCAGCCTCTTTCTTAACGTTTACAAAAATAAACTCAATTAGAGAAAGGTAATCTTCTTCTTCTACATATTGTTAAATTGTTCCAAATGTTAAAATTATTAAAATGTTGAATCCTTTATTGTAGATATACAAATGTTCCTGCAGTATGCAATCCAGAATCTTCATGAGTACTGATAAAAAAAAAAAACCAGCAACCACTAGAGTGAGTGCCATGTTCCCCTCTGCATCACTTCCATTTGGGGCCTACCAGGAGGTCTAAACCAACATTATTGTTTTACCATACCATAAGAATTTCAAGTGCTTTTATGTTAGGTATATTTCAAGAAGGCAAAGGAAATAAGCTTTTAATAGGTGTGAAAATTTCCAGCAAACCATAATTGAATCAAGAGAGTACAAACAAGTATTTAACACGTTGTTTTTAAGATGATCTACAAAAACATTCAAAAGATAGACCTTTAGGTATTCCATAGTAGGTGCTTTTTTTTCCCCTTACTCTTTTATATTTTTTTCACCTTTTTTGTCTCCTTGATGAGGATATTTGTTTTCAGTTCAAACAGGAGTTACCTGATATGTGATAGCAAAGCATCAGCTGAAGCTCATGCACTGCTAGGATACAATAAGTTCTTGGCAAGGGCTAAGTGGTGAGGAAATCTCCCTGACTTAAGCTTTTCCTTAAATTCTACCTCACTTGAAAGGCACAGTGACACATTTCGCCAAGAAAGGCTGCATTCTCCTTCCGGGGGCTGTGCTACTGCTTACTAGGAGGAACTGACAGCATAACTGGATATAAAAAGAGGAAATGGAATGTTTCTTCTGGGTGGCGATTATCTCACTGGCTAGGATTGTAACCAAGCAGTGGGTGTGAGGAGCAGTGAAAGGAAAAACTACTCTCAGTTTATGAGAATAAATTACTTTGTGTTAACTGACCTACAAAACCAGAGCTGGCCTATCCTGAGTGTACAAGAAATAATGTGTCTTACATTATTTGTCAGTCAACACCTGATAACTGAAATTCTGGCCAGCTTTGTGAGGTATTTTTAATGTGATAGTAGAGTAATCAGTTCCTTAAAAGTCTCAGGAGCAGCCCATCAGAGGATGCTATATAAGAAGACAGTTTTATTGTGTATCTCCTATTCCAGTATATATAAATGTCTATGTTTGGCCCTTTCACTCAAGTTCACTAACACACATTTCCCAGGGTGTGTCTGTGCACTGTATCACAGCAGTTTGACTTAAGGTACCATTTTAAAGTAATGAATTGGAAACATACTATTTCAGCCTACCTTACACCACTTGGAAACTAATGCAGCTTGAACTGAATGTAGTGTTCCAAGATTCAAATAAGTGTTCCAAATTTGAAAATTCATTATGGTTTGTCAGAATCAATTTAATGCTACCGGTGAAATTCAGTATGTCCTAATTTTTATCAATCTTAAAAATACATGAACTTCATGGAATTTAGACTGCTGGATTTGTTTTGGGTAATAGTTCAAAGGGAAGGTTTATAGGTTCATCTCTCTTCACCTTGTCTCCTCAAATAAAAGCTTGAATCTAGCTGAAAAGTTCTGCTTATGATATGTGGTGATAATTGGTCTGAAATTGTTAGTGAGTTCTTTAATTTGAAATTAGTATACCTCTGACAGCACTTTACAGAAAAATCACTGACAACAAAGGCAAAACATACATCTTCTAATGAACCTGACAGTGGAACAGTGTCATATTTTTGCAAGCATAGCAAAATTACTTATTTTACTCTTCTTTATGCTCATTATCCTAGTAACTACAAGGAATTTTTTGCTTTTCTAGTTTATCATGCTAGACTGTTTTGCAGTGGTTGCTTCTTCAAAGGCAACCTTCAAATTGCTACCCCACCCTCATATTGCTTGTGACGGCTCCAGAGGTTTTCCAGCACATTGACTGACAGCCAGTAAGGATTGCTAAAATATATGGCTAAAATTTACAGAGCTAATTTCCTAAATCTACACCCAACCTACAGGGCTCGGTTCTTGGGGAATTAAGATGGGAGATCAGGTGAGATAGCCTCAAAGGGACATTCATCTGAGGATGCTTAGGTTTGAGTGAAGGTATATGAAGTAGAAAGATTTTGCTCTTACCTCTTCCATTATGGACTGTTTCTATTTTTGGGAGGTCCACAACTCTTATTATTGAGCAAGCCCTCACATCCTATTCCTGGGTGGGGCAGTGGCCGTTCCCCACTATTTTACGAGTGAGGTAACTGCGAGGTTGTGTAAGGTCGTGTCAGGCAGGGCTGTGAATAGAAACCCTGGAGCTCCACAAAGCAGTGCCAAGTTGCAGTCACTTAGCCACAGAGCCTTCCAGGATGAATCTGATGAGTCTATGCTTGTCTGTCAGTATCCAGGCCCAGAGCTGCTGGATCTCACAGCCCTCCCAGGGCCAAGACTGGACCCTGACAGGCACTTTGCCACTGTTGTTGGTGCAAGTTGTGGTGCTTGCAGTTCAGTTTGAGCACTTTTCCTGTGCAAACGCTGATCGACTTACAGGATAGCAGCCTACTTATGTTACCAATTTAATTCTTTAATTTAGAAGGAAGCGATCTGAATACATTGGCCCACACATGTAGGAGAAAAAAAAAATAGGACCTGACTGTATAATTAAATACTGGATCATAACTCAGTTACTCAAGGAAGCAGAGCTGTGATTGGCATTTCCTAAGTTTCAAGTGCTTGATTTAACAACCTTAATGTGCTTTCAACACATTTAAATTTTTTATATTCTATTTCTGTCTATCTTAGTGAAGATCACAGAGAAACCAATTTTCAGTATTATACTGGAAGTGAATCAGATGTTGTTCTTAAAGAATTTACTGCCTTTAGCTCACAGTTCAGTTAAATGGAACAGCCATATAGGAAAAGATTTGGGTTTTACACTTCATTGTGCCAGACACTGTGTCAGTCAGACAGTAACACGTGAAGGATTTCTCTCATTGGACTACATGATGGAGGTCTGGGATATTGGAATCTCCAGGAGGCCAGAACATGATTAAATAAGTGAAGCTTTCCAGAAATCAAGCTTCATTCTCAGATGTGCAACTTTAGCATATATCAGCTGCCTCAGGGCTAATAGTGAGCTTTTTGTACAAGGACAATCAGTGTTCAAAGAGTTCAGATACGCTTTGTTGCAAATGACAGTTTTCAGCAGCAAGCCAAGCACGTATATGAACCTGGTGAAACAAACATGAAAATCACACTATTTCATGCACACCAACTGAGTCTTTGGTTAAAAACACATGGGTTTTCATCAGGGTATATGTCTTTATGGCACTTTTAAATATAGAACTATAAAATTAGATTTGGGATCGATGGGAAATCAGGAAGTGCTACTAATTTAGAAATCATGTTACAGATACATGAACTTAGGTGCCTGTAATGAAATCCCTGATCTCATTCTTTCACATCACAGGATAGTGCTGTTGACTTTGCTGGTATGGCCATAATATGCACATGTACGTTTTTCGTTTTTTCTTGTTTCCTTTTGACCAAAATCTTGATTCATTTTCAGGTGCAGTGAGTTGCTGTCTCTGCTTCTTAAATACATCTTTATTTTAAACAAAATAAGTTTTCAACATTCAGCTTAAATTATAAATCATTTTTCCTTATGGTTTCTTTATAGTGACTATAGGGATAAGATGCTGTTTGTAACTGGTGAAGAATCAGCCTAGATATTTTCAGGAATTTGTGGTACAGAAAAGGCACTAACTCTAACTCAAAAGAGGTCTTTGATTATATAAGTGATTCCTTATAATAATCTAGATATTCATTAAAAATTGATAGTTAATTAAGAAAAGGGGGGAAAATAGGTATTTCAGAGTTTTGTTTTCTAGTTAAGGAGAAGTAGAGTGGAAAATAACAAACACAGATCAGGAGATAGTTTTGAGAATGTTTTGATCTTCAGAACAATTTCATTAGCATTTCAGACGTTTTTGTATCTGATTTTCGGAGTCAGTAGATTTTTAAGACTAGAAGTCAATGTGATTTTGACTGGTATTCTGCTGGTAAGGGCAATAGCAATTCTTCAGAAAAAAATGCAAGAGTTTCTATCTTTCCTCTTGACATCCTGAAAACATTCTCAAAAAAGTTTTAGGAGGTGAATGACTGCTTTCATTTGCTTTCCCCTTGTGTGAAATTTAAGTTTTCATTATTACCAAGTGATTTTTATTGTTATTGTTGTGGTTGTTACTTTGACAACAGTGAAATACTGATCTGGGGCAATAATTTATTTTACTGAAAACTGTGGGGAAAGCCGTTTATTGTTCTTCTTGTGAAAAACAAGACTGTAGTTAGTTTAATTTTTGTAAACTAAATACTTCAGCTGAAATTCTCAGAAGTGCTGAAGAGAATTAGGAACTCAGGATAATTTCAGAACTGAAAAACTACTGAAAAAAACTACAAAACTGAAAAACTACAAATTTCAAAATTTCAACACTACAGACTGAAATCTGTAGCATTTCTCGATGATGTTCTGCACATCAGATGATGATCTAAACAAGTCTTAAACTAGTATAACTAAAAAAAACCCTAGCAGCTGTTCAATAGATGCTAGGGCAAGCCCATTATAAAATGTACTATGGTATGTCATGATGGTTAGGATACCAGTGCATTCTATTTTTAGTACCATTGACTCAGTCACTTGAGTTCAAAAAATAAGCAGGGAACATCTGTTTATTGAAAGGATTTCCTCTACATTAATTTCTCTCTCTATTTCATCCTTTATAAAGTACTTCCAAAATTTTTAACTGGTTCCTTTCAGAGTATGATCCAATTTATTTTCCAGTATTCTGACACTGCATTGATTTTATTTTCTTATTAATAGCTGATGCTGTGAAAATGTAATTACTCTCTGATGTTTCTTCAAATTCTTTTTAATCATTTGGAGTGTTGCTTTTGCTATGTTTTTCTGAATTTTAAAGATGTTCAAGATCCCTCAATAAAGCTACTGTACCAAAGATTGTACTACTGGAATTGCCAAAACAAATAGCAGTTTAACTGCCATCCATGACTCTGGTCCAATATCTCTGTCAGAATATTTAACAGCTATTCAGCCAAATACCTGTAGAGCAGCTGTAGCCCTAGTCAGACTGAGTCTTATTCTGTCCTTCCTTTAAGCCTTGCCATATGATTCATCTTTCTTCTTTTAGAATATTAGTCTATTTATATCTTGTACAAGAAAGCAATACAAATTAAAGATAAACACTTGCATATTAGCATGATAAAATTCTGTGCAATTAAAGCAATTTAAGTATTTTCCAGAATGGGCATGCTTGACATATGGTATGAAGAAAGAAGGGGGACACTCACATGACATGGGTATGACTTTTTGATAATGTAGCAAGACAACTGCTCTATGAAAATACAGGAACTTCACTTTATTTCCTGAGGAAATTCAAGAGCTTTTGCTTTTGTATCACTATACATTTTTTCTTCTCTGTGCATCTCTTCCCAGAGGCTGCCCAGCTCTAGCTATATTATTGAGTTAGGTTGTGGCCATGTGTTAGCCAGTATGCTTATTTTTCATAGGCTAAGGTGACTTATTTTACTTTTCCCCCCAACCTCCTTTGCTTTATAACCACAGAGGCCAGGAGAAAGAGATATCAAATATCTGAGAAATAATTTAGATCCCAGTCTGTGTTCTTTTAGAATCCTTCTTTGATATGAGGTCCTCTTGATCTTGTTGGGGTTTTGTTGCTGTGTTCAAGTCTACAAGTACACAGCAGGTTGCAGGATCTGAACTGTGTTAGCGATTTTCTCCTGGAAGAGCCATCCTTATTTAATTTTGACACATTACAAATAACTGACTGTAAGCTAATAGTACACTCTCCTCACCTCCCATAACCTGTAGTAAGATGAATAAACAGTCATCATAGTCCAATGCAAAACTGAGAGTGTGAAAGTCACTGAGAAAGAAATATTGCACTGGCGCTAGCAAGTGTGATTCATGTTTCTGATCTCAGTCCAGTTACTAGTGGGCAGGTGTCCACATCACAACCCTGACATAACTGGCGCAATCTGTCCCACCTTTGCTGGAAGCCTGTTCTAAAAATAAACAAAAAAAATCCCGAACAAATAAATAAAAACACAGCTTGGTTTGTTGTAATGATTGGACTAACTCTAGCCCATAAGGATTGTAATTGGCAGGTAAAGTCCTTTAAGACAGTCCTTTACTTAGCAGTGTAGTGGAGAGAGTTCAGGAAGAAAAACAGTTTAGATTTATTTGTTTTATTAAATTATCACATGTTCTACTGGACCAACTGCTTTGTTTCTTAATCACTGAAATGCAAAATAGACTTTCTCTATTTCCAGAACGTAAACTTTTCTTATTACCAATCCACTAGTATTTTCAAGGATTCTACTGAGGCATCTCAAGTGTAAAAGATAAGATGTGGAGGTGTTTTCAGGATCCAAATATTACTGTCCATATATGTAATATAGAACTTCATTAAACAGATTACTTGAAATGCCCTCTTTGGTAGACAATAACTTTTAACATTGTGTTTACCTTTTAGATGACGCTTCCCCTGAAAGCTTCTCTTTGGCATTTCCAGAACTAGATCAGCAGCTGCAGGTAAACTTCTCTTATGACAGTTCTACTTCACATTCACTGTATTTGTTGTTATAAAAAGCCTCTGGTTGTTACACTATGGTGGAAGTTTTTAGTGGTGCTTTTCTAGCCTATTAACATTTAATAAGACCATATATATCCATAGAAGAAAACACTGTTTTTTCAAGATCTTCAGAAAATTTTTCGTCCAACCGCAGGGAAATTACTATTTTAACAATCTTGCCTGCTTTTAAGATTTTCCATCTAATTCCTGTAGTGCTGCTGCACTGCAATGAAGAGAGTTCTTGTTCACCTGATGGGAGAAGGAATGAGAGGGACATTATACATTCCAATGCCTGCAGGCTGTGCTATGACTGATAGCATCAGTTTTCTCAGACACATTCCAAGAGAATCCTTTGGTGACCAGTGTGATTTGTCAGCATAGAATGATGGGCCCCCAGTATACTGGACAGTGAGCAATTGATGGCAGCTCCATGGCTCTCTAGGCACAAAGCCAGTTCTGTATCCAGGGATTATTTCCCTTTCCTCTGTGGTGGTTCTGGAGTGTTTGCTGGCTTTTGTGGACTACTTCAGATTATCTGTTTTCACAGGAGCATTTAGACTTCCTCTGATATTTCACTATGAAGGCAGTTGTTTCCTGACTGTAAATTGAGAAGGGCGTTAGTAGACCACTCATTGACCAATAATGTCATCTTTCCTGTACCCATCATCTTGTGAGACAACATGGGATGGCTGCTGACTTCAAGGGTGACGCTTCTGTCCCGCTGCTCTCATCAAACGGATGACTGAGAAAGGAATGGAGGATGACAGAGACTCTTCGTGCTCTGTCTCTCTCATCCTGAGGATATGGGCAGGTTCTTTAGGCATAAGTAGGAATTAATAACAGCTTAAGGTTTGGGACAAAAGGAACCGGGTAGTATGCTAACCTCTTTATTCCACTAACCTTCCAGTGCAACAAAGAGGATTGGGTTTTTTTTTTTTTCTTTAGAAGAATTCAGTTTGAGAAAAGCAATTGTGTTGCATGGCTGGAGCACTAAATTGAAAGTAAAGAACCTGCATTTTGTTTGCAACTCTCTCATTGACACATTGCTTAATCCTGGAGATGCTTCATCCCTCTGTTCATCTCTGAAATTAAGTTAATAATTTTTTACATTTTTTGCTAAAGAGCATTAAGACCAGTAGGTAAGGATTGCTCTAAAAGACTGAAGTATGATTATTATTGCTGCTATTGATACACAAAAACAATATTACTAGCATTACGTATAAGTACTTTGCAGGACAAGTGATGATTTTTTTATTAAGACTTTTATGACTTTTACATTTCTGGAACCTATAATATACTCTAAATATGGAATTTCATGATAGGCTGAAAATGCTCCTCTGGAAGCATTCAAGTGTTCCAGATATATAATAGCCCTTCAGTAAAAGTTTTGAAGTACATTCTAGCACAATCCCACTAAATGTACCCAGCTGGCCTGTTAAGTACTTGACACTTGTTTCAAGAAAACCTTCCTTTACTCTCATAATCATGAATATGAATAATTGAATATGATAACAAATTCAAATAAACAATCAAAGGCTTTGGTTAATGTAATTTTCTTTTTATTATCCTACATAATCTCCCTTGGTAATATCAGGATAGCTGAAAGGATAACTTATGAGAGCTACCTGTCTGACTCAACCACTTAAAAGTATAAAATTTGTGGTAGCACTTAATAATTTTGTTTTCAAACTTATGTGCATGTCTATATTTCAATGCCTTTATGTTCATCCAAGGGCAGTGAAGTCAATACAGGGCTCTGAGCTGATGCAGAGATATTGCAATCAAATTTAGCAATAAAATCTTGAATTTCCTTGCTTTTGTCAATCTGTCAATTAGATCACAGTTTCATGTGATAACTATTTAATGTCATTACAGTATTTTTAGTCTGCTTTAAAATTTCAAACAAGTAATAGCTGTTACAAAATTATCATTTACCTTATTACATTTCTTATTAATTGTGGTTTTTTCAATCACTGCAATCCAAACTGCTGCAGGTTTGTCAGAACTCTATGGCATGTGCTTGCAATTCATGCCAACTTTGAAACAGGTAGCTCCTGCATTACAGAAACAGGTAAAATGGGCTTCACCAGGACCTGCAGAAGTAGTGAATGGTGGTGTCCCTTGTCATTCCATCCATGTTTTTTTCTGTCCTGAAGTGCATTAATACAGAGCACACACATGAAGGGTCGTGTAAATGAACCTTTTAATCAGCTGTGGCAATAGCAGCCTGAAATGCTTGAATTTGTAAGAATGCTGGTACATATGTTCATAATAAAAATATCATATCTGAGAGCCACAAGATTTTAATCAGTGTGCCATAAATACAGTCAAAAATATTTGAATTTTATTTAAAGAAGCAAACTGTAAATGCAGGTTATGTGGCTATATAGTAATAGGCACCTTAAAAAAAAAAAAAGTAATAACTTTACAGATTTCAAGCATACAAAGGAAAATTTTGAAACCTGTTTTAAAAACAAACAAACAAAAAAAAAAGCCTAAATTAGCTGATCTTTAAGCTGGATTTTGAAAGCAGCTTGAAAGCTATGTAAGTTCAGCAAGCCACTTGGAAAATCAGAGCCTTAGAATTCTATGCATGCAGGCAGCAGACCACAGCCTGAGTACCAGGCAATTTGCACCTCTGTTTTGGGCTTCAAGCTCTCGTCCTCCTATGTTAGGCCTTGGCAGACAACTTGGCTATTTGAGCAGAATTACTTAGTGGTCCCACTTTTCCTCCCACAATTCTTCCATACCTATTCCCTGGGCAGCAGTATCAAATGACAGGGCAAAGTTCAGTGCAGCCTCCCCTTGGCAGGGCAACAAACCCTGCTGTCCAAGCACCCAGCTCTACAGAGGTGGATGTGGAATTGCCTGGAGAGAAGGTATTTCTAGGAGACTTAGCAAAAAAGCTAATTCTCTATAAGGACTCTTACTAAAGGACAGTTCTAGTTGCAGCTTCATTCTGAAGAATAAAAATGATGAGTCTGTGTTCTGATGTACTAGCTAGCTTCAGACTAACATGTTTTATTTTCAAATTACTTTTTTGAATGTTACAGTTTTCTACACATTCCGAGAAGCAATTTGTAAAAAAATAACTCCAATATTTTAAATCAAAATTTATATGTGGTCTGTGGTCAATCAGACATGAAAGACCTTCATATGAGAACAGATCAGTTTAAGCTATATTTGCAGCTTTATTATTAAAAAAAAAAACAACAAAACCACACACACAACTAAAATAACTTCCTGCTAAGTTATCAGTGAAACAAAACTCATATTAATAATCTTCTTGTTTTCAATTCCTTTTGTTTGCAGTATTGGAAATTATTCTCTTCCCACTGACAAGCAGTACCTGTTTATTTGAGCTTTGGTGGTTTTCCCCGCTTCCGTGTGTGCACCATGTGGTGGGCAGTGCAGCAAGGGTGGGCTGGTTACACCTGTCACTCTGTCACTGGGAAACTTTAACCTTTGCTTTGTCTGGATGGGTCCTTGGAAGGCACTTTCTTGATTAGCTGCCCAGTGACCCCTCTGACAGAAATTTTACTACGGGTTATCTGCTGTATTTAGAAACATACATCAGCATCCAAGGCCTTGTTGTTCAGGTCACTGAATGGAGAGGAGGGTATCTAGTGTTCATACCTGCACTGCTATGCCCTGTACGTTGCCTGTCCCATTCCAACACTTCCTGTGACTTGCTCAGTTCATCTCTCTGTTCCCCATCAAAATCTTTATTCCAGATGAGAGCTTGATCCTGAAGAGGGAAGAACACAAGTCACATATGTATACACAGGGTGTTCTATAGTTCTTCATCTTTGAAAACCAGGTTAGATGGGGCTCTGAGCAACCTAGTCTAGTGGAAAGTGTCCCTGGCAGAGGATTGGAAGGAGGTGATCCTTAAAGTCCTTTCCAACACAAAACAATTCAATGGTTCTGTGATCTTGTCTCATGAAATTGTGAGCTTGAGAGACATTTATGTCATATTTTGTGTTACAAATCTGTGTCATTAGATGACTATAAAATTGCTGCAACAAAGAAAAAGCTCCAACCATTTATAACATCCAACCTCAAGTCAAAGGATAGTTTTTCTCACTTTAGTAGAAAATGCTCATATAAAAGCAATGCAAATGTTATGAAAGGAGCAGTGTGTGATATAAGTATTTAGCAAAAACCTTGTTTACTCTGGAACTTTAATTGCTTCTACTGAATGCCGGGATTTTTGTTAGATACATAAATTAATTTTAGAAAGTTTAAAAGCATACTCTGTTTTTAAAGAGGATGCTGTAATTTTTTTACTATGTATTGGTTTCCAAGAGAATTCCTAGAGGACTGTGTTGCTCTAAAATTAGGTCTGATAGCCAATGAACTTGATAAGTCTCCTGTAATGCTGCTGTGATAACTTTGGTCTTAAATTATGTAAGGCCATTTTATGCATGTATGTTAACATGTATGCATGTTCACCAAGTCAGAGCATCATACTAAGGTTAGAAAAGAATGGAAAATCTCACAGAAAGGAGAGCAAAACTCACAATTGCTCTCATCCAGTTGACCTGAATTGTTTGGAAGAGAACTATTGACTTTCATAGTAAAACTAGACTGGACTAGATGTATCCTAAGATGGGTATCTGAAACTGGTGGAAAAGTTCCATTTGCACAACAAAAAGTAGCTGCAATGTGCTATTTTTGCTTGGCACAATGTGGGTTTTTCTATCATAGAAGAGTGCACAAGGGCATATAATGAACATAGACCACATTCAAAATATTAGCATTGGATTTTCCACTTTTCCAGAAGAGTTCAGCTGAGTTACCAAATTTACAAAAAGCAAGATACCACTCTTTAATTAGATCAGTGCTGAAGACTTCTAAATAAGTTCATGTGAGCTGGAAAAACTGCCAGATACAATTTTTTCTTGAAACTTCAACTTTTTCAGGAGAAAGTTTTAATTTTTGCACAGTTAAACACATAAGTGCAATGATGGTGAATTTAAAAATCAACTGTTTTTAAAGCTTTTGACAGTTGATTGGCACTGTCAACTATACAGCTTTTGTGGATATGGAATGCTGATTTTCATATGGCAAGGCAAAAGAACTTGTCATATAAGTGAAGCAAAAAAAAAAAAAAAAAAAGCCCAAACCTGAAAATTTTCATTCTGTGTCATCCCACCAAAGATTTTACTTAGAAGACCTTCTTCAGCCTGCCTTAAAAAGCAGGCAGAAAGGAGGTTACCCAGATGATTAAAGGCATGGAGCACCTCTCCTGCAAGGAAAGAAAGTCCCTTCCAACCCAAAAGTTCTGTGATTTTCTGTTTCTTCATGAACTGCTTTTGCATGTCATCTTCCAACATCTTTCATGTCTGGATTCTGAACAAAAGTCTGAATAAACAGTACATATGTCTTGTAAAGATTTACATATATATGTGCAGTTACAGGATGGTCTATAAAAGGAACTCTTAGTGTCTACTTGCTGAATTCTGTAGAACATTTCTCAATGTTACAGTGAGTTACTCAACAAAATACACGGAAAAATCAGACCTTGTTGAAAATCAGGCTTAATAGGACAGACAGTGGAAAAAAAAGCATACTGTAAATTGAACTTTATTAAGGCCTTCTGAAATTAGTCACCTTGGTAAACTAGCAATCCCTTAACAAAAAGATGTTATACAGACTTCCTGGAATGCCATTGGGCATTCTGTACTGCAGTATCTGCAGTACATCCCATTGCCTGGCCACAGACCATTAAAAAAGTTCTTCCATGTGGAATGGAGATTTGTGTCTCCTTTTACCATGTTATTGCAGTAGAAAGTGTTTGCTAAAATGCAGTTTCATATGATACTGACCAGAATCTACTCATGGATGCTGTAGATAATATCTCTGGAGCTTGTCTTAGAAGTTTCCAAATTACAGAGGAGCACACCAAATTCTCCAGTTCTGGCTGCCCCATCCCTGGAAATGTTCAAGGCCAGGTTGGACAGGGCTTGGAGCAACCTGGCCTGGTGGAAGGTGTCCCTACCCATAGCAGAGGGGCTGGAACTTGATGCTCTTGAAGGTCCTTTCCAATCCAAACCACTCTATGATATGATCCAATTATATTCTATCTAGTCATTTGAAAACATTGTAACATTTATGTTTTAAAGAAATATACACCAATAATTTAAAAGAGTCTTGATATAGTGCTTACTACCATCAGACAAATTGAAAATAATTTTATGAATAGAAATTAGAAAACTGATTGTTTAATTTGTTTTAAGTTTAATTTAAGTGGTAAAATATCAGTGTAAGATAAAATGTCACTGAAGAGGAAACAATAATAGGAAGGGTTTTAAAAGTCAGCAGCTGGTTCTAAGTGAGCCTTAGATGCTAAGTTTCAGCATGACTAGATAATTTTTAGCTCTCTATATATATCTTTTGAGTGGGAAGCTGGAATATAGAAACTGAGCACTGTTTTAATTTTTAAACTGGTTTAAACCAGCTAGATTAGTGGAAACTAAATTGAAAGCAAATCCAAGGTCTTTTCTGCTTTGTTTTGTTGCGTTTTTCTTTTGAAGTATCACTGTTTGGGGACTTTCCCCTTGGTACTGTTCAAAATTGTTTTATTGTGACACACTTGTTGGTAGCTGATCTCTGGTAGATAGCAGAGATGCTGCTTTGGCTCATCCATGCATTCTTGGATTAGAGCACTGAGACTTCTATATTCAGTCTTGCTAAATTTATGCTTATTATTTGGGTGGCTATATCAATGGTGCTCTTGCTCATCCACACTGAAATGCAATTAAAAGCACTTTTCTAGGGATTAGATTCATCAAGTATTGGGCTGCCCTTTCCCTGGGTTCCCAAAATCTCCAAGATCAGGGAGAATGAAACAATGTGCTGTGAAACAATTCTGCTGCAGCAGTTTTAAATTTAGAATATGGAATATGAGTGTCAAAATTTCAGTGAGGAATCACATACCAACTACAAGTACTTGCAAGCTGCATACATTACTTATATCTGTGCTTTGGGTTATGTCTGAAGCCAGCTTACCCTGTCTCCTGAACAAAAATGCTTTTAATCTTTGTTTCTTAACATGTTTAGTAAAATTTGAATTTTCAGTTTAGATTAAACAAAATATTACAAGATCATAAATAGGAAAAGTCTGACTACTTGTGCTTTTCTTTTCCTAATAATGTCATTAAGGGAATATTATACTACCCAGAAGAGTCAAGGTAGGACAGCAAGAAATGCAAAACAATCTACTAATATTGTGAAAAGCAATTGGATGTTATTTAAATGGACAGTAAATGAACTATTTTAAGTGTTTCCTTTTACTTCAAACAGGTGGCTCAAGCATGCTATTTGGAGTTCATTTACAGTCAATAGATTCATGGCTAATAACTTAAAAATACTTCCTGAAAGTGTTATAACCAAAATGTGACAGTCAAACGTGAAGCCTGAATTAAGATGCATTCTTTTTTAAGGAGCAAAAAGCACCTACATTTAACCAAAATGTATTTTCAAGACCTTTGATGAAATTTACTTAAGGAGTCCTAGGACAGCTTGGTTTTATTTGCCATATTTATTACATTCAGTATGCATTGAAAAAAAGATGATCTTGTTGCAATGACGTCAGTTCCTGGCAGTGTAAAGATGTATGTGATAGGTCTGATCAATGCATCAGCTTTAGCATTTACATATCACTCTAGCTGAAAAAGAGGGAGGTAAGGCAGAAATCCTCCTTTGAAAAATCTGCAGGGATATTTTGCAAAGCTGACAAGGAGAGTTTTGAAAATTCTCACAATGTTTGAAGTTTTACACATGTTTGAAGTTTCGCACATATTCTTATGCAGGGAACTCTTTTGGGTTTTTTCCCTCCTTGAAAGGCCATCACTAGGAATAGTTGGCCATATACTACAGTTATTTAAGGGAAAAAATTCTTTAGGTGTTCTCACAGGAATTCAGATAAATATTGTATCTTTCAAAATATGTGGGGTTTAAACTAATATTTCATTCAAAAAACAATGGGGTTTTTTTTCTTCTTTTTTTTTTTCTTAAAGCCTCTGCCTCCTTGTCATGACTCTAAGGAATCTATGCAGGTGTATAAACAGCACTGCAAAATAGCAGAAGAGTACCACGAGGTCAAGAAAGAAATTGCTCTGCTGGAAGAAAGAAAGTGAGTAACTTTCCTAAAGGATTTACTGTTCTATATTCTCTTTGTAAAACCCTGTTTGAAACATGAAAGTTTAACTTTGTATTTTCTGACTTGATATACCTATATGCTTATATATGTATATACTTATTTATACATATATTATAATTGTGGCCTTCCAGTATCTGAAGGAAGCCTGGAAGAAGGATGGAGAGAGACTATTTATAAGGGCCTGGAGTGACAAGACAAGGGGAATGGCTTCAAACTGACAGAAGACAGGGATAGATGAAATATTGGGAGGAAATTCTTCCCTCTGAGGGTGGTGAAGCCCTGGCACAGGTTGCCCAGAGAAGCTGTGGCTGCCCCATCCCTGGAAGTGTTCAAGGTCAGGTTGGACAGGGCTTGGAGCAACCTGGCCTAGTGGAAGGTGTCCCCTGCTGGTGGCACAGGGTTGGAACTGGATTATCTTGGAGGTCCCTTTTAACACAAGCCATCCTAGGATCCTATGATTTCATGCCTCTGCCTGATGTAGAGCACAAGTTGGCCATCGCTCTACAGTATCAGCTGACGCCACTAAGGGCTGTCACAGTTCAGCTTTGTGGGTGTCCCTTAAAAGCTTCACTGACAGCCTCCAGCTCACATAACAATCCAGTCCATCTGTTGTAGGTTCCTTTTCAATTTTAGTTTTTTCAATAAACACTGCACACTTTAATGAAGAACAAAATGGATTCTCATTTAGGCTTAGAATACTTGACAATACTAGTAAACCTGTTTCTGTGAGGTGCTTTGTTTTTGTGTACACTGGTTCAATATACATTGGCATTTCAGGTGTTCATACCCAAAGTGAATAAGCTGGAGGCTTTTTTCTTGTCTATGGCCTGTACTCATAGCCTTGTCATCTTTTGCCTGACTATTAAATGGCAAAGTGCACTCTGTAGCTGTCCATCCTTTTCCATGAGAAAAGGAAAAAGAAATGAAATTTCCTGAAAAAGAAGTTCAGAGAAAGGAAAGAAGGTGAATAGTGAAATCTCTGCCCAGCTGACCCTGCAGTTCAGCCAAGTTTGCATCCATGGGAAACTTCAGCTGCAGAAGCAAGAGGGAAACTTGAAATCCTGTAGTCTTACAAGACAGTCAAAGAACTCCCTGAATCCAAACTATGCAGGGTAAGAAAGTGAGATGTCTTTATCTGGGTTGATGGCTATAGGCATAATACAGTTACTTTTTGCCTAAAGTGTCAAAGCTGTTTGAAGTTTCCCACTGCAAACCCCCTTCCACTGAAGGATCAGTGTGGCACTCAGAGGCTGACAGACTGGAACAAGAGCTAAAAAAGATTATGTCCAGTGTCATGGGAAGATGCATTTTACATTTGATTCACATTTGCAGCATTTGCATTTGATTCACCATTAATTGAACTTGGCCAATAAAAAGTCATTAGTATTTTTAAAGAGATTAGAAGATAAGTAATTTTTTTAAAATTTGCAATTATTTTTCAAATTTGTTTGTCTGATACAAGCTGCTTATATATGTATTTAGCAATCAATCCTGTGGAAATCATGTGTGTTTGTCTACTCTGAAAATCCAAGCGCAATATAAAATATTAAATGATTGTATAAGTGCTTGACTTTAGTTGTATAAACCCCAAAGGTAGCCTTCAATCATTTTGGTTTTAGAGTCTACTAATATAAATCTATTATTATTATTATTGGCACAACCCTGAATCAGTTATGCGTGTTTATGAAGAATGCTTGGAGCTCATGAAAATGAGACATTCACGTATATTTTTGCACTTTCTGGAATAAAACAAAATTGCTGTTTGAATGCAATTTTTTTATCTATAAGTCTGTGGTACTAGCTAAATTAGAAATGGTTTGCTTCTTGAGAATGGCAGGTACATGCACAAAATTATTTACCTGAACTCACAATTATCCTAATCAACCTCTGAGCCCAGAGGTCAGCCTCTCAATGGTGCGTATCTTGGATGATTTAAAGGGCTTCAGGCTGGCATTTTCCTTCATTCCACCAGTGGATGTCAACAGTGGAACAATGTCAGGTAGCTTCCACCACTGCTGTCTTTGCTGAACCTGTTCTGGGAATTCCATGCCCCAGTAAACATATGTTATGAGTGGCTGTATAAGGCAACAAATGGAATTATATTATTGAGACCCGTATGTACTTTTCTAATTACATATTTGTAGCCTTATGTTCACATGCTGTATAGCTGTGAAATGCCTAAACATGACAAATATCAGGGCAGCACCTTTCACACCTCCCATGTGTCTTAATCTGAAAAAGCGATCCTACAGCACTGGGATCAAAGATGTTTAATTTCCTACAAGCTGGTTCACTGTGGTTGCCTGATTTTGAGGTTTAAACTGCAAGTGCAAATTGAAGATATTTCTTCTCCAGATGTGGATTGTTTATAACTTTTCCCTCCAAGTAGATTATCCATTTTGCATTCCCCCATTGTGTATATTTCCTTTCTGGAGCAGTCTGTTTTTATTAAACCCTCCAGAAGCTGACTGGGACCTCTTTACCACATGGTTTGGTTGAAATTGAAAGGTGGATTAGAAAGTTATTAGTACACATGTAACTTTATACACATGTACGCAAACAAACCTGAACATGACAGCCTTGATTTTTATCTAAAACTAGATAGAAAGGGAGTATAAGTGTGGAGGCAAAGGAATAAGCGAGAAGTAAAAGGGAGTTTTGCTCTCCTGTTCACTGATTTATGTCTAAAAACATTCTCAGCACTTACAGCAAGAGAGTTAAAAGTAGTTTAAGGACTAGCATATACTGAATGAAGAGTGGATTATAATGGCTGGGGTGGCATGCATGTTTAGAATTGTGTGTGTACATATAAGTATATGTATATATATAAATAAATACATGTGTATATTCTTATATTTGTATATACTTATATATGCACCTGAGAGAGAATATTTACAAGGGCAGGTAGAGATAGGACAGGGCAGAATGGTTTTAAACTGATAGAGAGTAGGTTTGGATTGGTTATTAAGGAGAAATTCTTCCCTGTGAGGATGTTGGGGCATTGGAAATGGTTGCCCAGACAGCCCTGGCTGCCCCATCACTGGAAGCATTGAGTATTCCGTTTTTAAAAAGGAAGAATGCTTTCACTTGTCTGAAAAGTCTGATGAAATGAACAAGCTTTTAGCCTCAAAATCAATTACAATCAAATTGAAAACATGGAGTTTGCAATTTTCTAAAATTTACCCCTGCTCTTGGTGTCTTCTTCTACACTTGAATTTGAATACATGCAAATGAAGATGCCCAATTGTCTACTACACCTACTATCTACTGTCTATTTCTCTTAAATACTATTTTGAAAAATAGTATTTAAGTATTGCATATAGTATTAACATATAGTTGCAAATAGTATTTTGATCAAGTTGCATCCCTTGTAATGGGAACAAACAGCTTTTATAGTGTTTTTCAGTGTACATTTTTACCAAAGGCTATCACAAATGCTGCTGGATGGTATCCTTGCCAATGCTCCCAACTTCTCTCCACAGATCAATTCACCTGTGTCATTCCAATAACAAGTCTCACCTGGCAGTTTCTGCATCTGTGGTGCCTGCTGATAGCACATACAGGATGCTGAAGGCTATGACTGACAGAAAAAAGCAGAAAATGGATTGAGCAAATATTTTTATTTGTTGGCTAGGAGGAAGAAATAATGTTAACCTGACAAATATCTGTACAGGTACTAGAGCTTTTTAGGAAAAAAAAAAAAAAAAGGAATAGAGTTAATTCTATTTTAAAATAATTGTTGTTCCAGCCTCCAAAGTTCAGTGTAACCTTTCATGCATGAAACAATATATACAGGTATATTTTTATATTATTTTATAAGACATAGAAAGTTGTAAAACATTATTTTAACAATAGTGAAAAATATAGAATCTTTTACAACTTTTCAAAGGCTTTTATGCTTCTGCTTAGCTTGATGAGCAATGTGAGCATCGAGTATGGCCAAAGTAAAAAGTCAATGAAACTAAATGACAAGGGTTGCTTTTCATCAGGGTGACAACAAACTTACTTACTTGTTCCCTTTTGTGCAATATAGATGGCAGGAGAATGTACTAGGCTGGCAGTGGGAGAGAAGATGACAAGTATTTCACAGGAAAATGGGAAATGTGAGAGAGAAAAAGAGGTTGTAGTATCAAAAAAGGGAAAATCAAAGGACAAAGCAAATAAAGATGGGAAAAGAAGTTACTCAAGAATTTAAAAGGAAGCAAGAATTTGAAAGAACATTGGGTAGATTTTTTTGCTAATTTAATCATAGCTTTGTTTGCTGTCTTCACTCACACTCTTCACATTTATGCCAGCAATATGTAATACAAGGGAAAAAAACCACTCTGGAATGGGAGACATGATTGAAAATAAAGAAAAGGGTGTGGAAGCGAGAACACACCACATTTAGGGCACAGAATGTAATTTATGTTCCAGAAACACACACGTATTTCCATAACAGATGGTTTGGGGTATCTAACTTTGGGTGAAAGGGATGAGATGGCTGGTTATTTTGAGCACTTGTTATATTGCTATTACTAGATAATGACCCTGGATTATGTAGTTAAATATTAGAGTTGCCATGGTTGCTAGCTGTATCTTATATTCTTAGCACTGGATGGTTATCTCCTTTTCCTCCCCAGACAATTCTAATATAACTCTACAGAAAATATAATTCGATCACCACCTGGTTTAGGATCACCCATTTTCTTGGCCGTGGATATGATTTCTTTTCCTTCTTTTACACGTTAGAGCAGAAACAGTAGAATTGTTAAGATTGGAAAAGACCTTTAGGATTATTAAGTTCAACCACCAACCCAGCACCACCTCCCTGTTCACCATTAAACTGTGTCCTCCACTGCCACCTCCACATGTTTTTTTAACTACTCCAGGGATGGTGACTCAACCACTTCCCTGGGCAGCACATTCCAGTACTTTACAAACCTTTCAATTAAAAAGTTTTTCCTGATATCTAATCTGAACCTCCCCTGGCACAACTTTAGGCTATTTCCTCTCTCCCTGTCCCTTGTTCTCTGGGAGCAGAGCCTGACCCTCACCTGCCTGCACCCTCTTGTCAGGGAGTTGTGGAGAGTGAAAAGGTCCCTCCTGCCTCTCTGAGAGGACCAGAACTGGACTCAGGACTCGAGGTGTGGCCTCAGCCATGCCCAGCACGGCGGAACAGTCACTGCCCTGGTCCCGCTAGACACGCTACTGATGACAAAATCCAGCATCCCAGTGGCCCTCTTGGCAAATGACATGCAGCGGAGATGACTGCTTAATTTTGTGGGAGCCTTTCATATGTTTTAGCTTGCTCTCATGACCATAGGACTGTTTCTATGCTTTTTAGTCCAGAAGATTTCTCAGGTACATTTGTTTCTTGAGTGTCTTTCCCAACACTGTGAAGACAAGTAGTTTTCAGACTTCTAGGTACTTCAGAAAAAGATTGGTGTAAACCTTAAAGTCAACATTTTAGTTCAATAATTTTCCCATTCTAGACCTATTTTTTCATCATCTCACAAAAGATGCAAAATATATGTTACTTGTCAAATACTAGAAATTAAATTACAGCTTTTCTAATACAAAAAGAGACCTCCTCTTCTAAAGGAAGTGTCCTTGCCTTTGGAAGGTCCTTTCTAACTCAAACTCTTCTGTCATTCTGTGACCTTTTATGTGTTGGCATCTGAAAGACATTTTCATTTACATTGAAGCAGACATTAATGTCTTTAATAGTGTTGTTTTTTAAATTAATTAGTAGACTTATGCAAGGACAATCTCCTCAAGACAGCAGTTACCTTGCAGGGTCTCATAATTCCCTCAATAGGAAAGCCATGCCAAATGTGGGAAGGGAAAATGACTTTTTGGCTACCAGTACACACCAGTTGTGTTGTATGCCACAGACACGTGATCCTGAATACCTTGTTCACAATGAGGAAAAGGCAAATCTGAGTCTTTGTATTCTGGAAACTGTTTTCCTTGTGTCCAGTCCATCTCTAAATACACTTATCTGCAGACAGAATTATCTGCTTAGTCTGTCACTTTTCTTTGGATTTATTCCTTGTGAATATGAGTGTTGAGGAGCTCTCTTGTCTGCATGTTTAGTCATTAAGGCCAGAACAAGAGAAATTACTTCCCTAAGACAGTGCTATGTTTTTCTCCTCCTTGTGGTTTATGGGTTTATGATGCAAATCGCTAATGTTGCCTCCCAAACCCGTCCCCAAAAAAGAGCACTTAAAGTACATGTTACAGATTGTCTCAAAGCTTTGAGTACCTCAGCACTAATTTGGAAAATACCTTATCAATACTGTTAATATTTAAACTTGGGGTAACCATTAACAGAAAACACAGATGACACAGTGCTACATCTATTTATTAAGCATCCCCAACAAAGTCTAGATGGTGCAAGAGCTTAGCATGGTGTTCTTTAACCTCTGAAAGCTAAGTTCAAATCTTGGATTAGATCAGATGTAAATGTTAGTTACTGTCCTCATCCTTTTGTGAGCTTCATAAACTACACCATTCATAACATTTAGCAGATCCCTGGTACTCTAATTTTAGATCTGTGGCAGGCCGACAGTATCAGCCTGAAACATCACCCTATCCTGTAAACAGGTGTTGATCCTGATGGGAAAGGACTAAGTAGGTTCTGCTGACTCAGAAGTGGGCAATTTTACTACCTCAGTGCAAGGAAACTTCTTTCTGTGAGGGAGGTCCAAGAGTGTGGACTACAGCAATGAGTGTATTTTGATCTTAATGCATTTATAGTTTATTTGATAGCAAATCTGAATCCTGGGGAGGGGGGAGGGAAGTTATCTGTGCTGTTTGAGTATTACTGGAGAGCAGCATGAAAGCCAAGCCTGCAGACAATGTCATCAAATCAGAACTGACCTTCATTACTAGAGCTGTCTGAGTTTGCACATTGTCTGTCTGTGCCTCTCCTGGCTCAGGTCCAAGATAGTCAGTACTGTTCCTTTTCAAGTACTGGAAGTTCCCACAGAAAAGGTTTACCTGCTTTTAAGATGCTGATTACCTAGTAGTGTGTTCACTGCATCTCCCTTTCAAAAAGCTCATGAGTGTAAGAAAAGTAAGGAAGAATGATTCTGAAATCATTTGTTTCGACACTTCTGATTTAACAGTCTGTAATTTGAAAGAGCTTAATTTAGCCCTTTAGTCCAACATTGCACCAGAGAAATATTGCAAAAAAATATTGCAGAAGTTCTTACTTGGTCTCCAGGGATAAAAGTCTTCCAGAGGAAGTCCAGGGAGAAACAAAACAAACAAACAAACAAACAAACAATAAATCAAAAAAACCCCAAACATCTGGAGTTGTAAAAACTCATTGTCCCTGAATGTATTTCTCATGTGAAATCACTCCTCCATGGCCTCAGGCCCATGAATAGGAGCTGTCTATCAAGATTGTCGTGACTTCTGTGAAAACAGGTTGATCTAGAATGGCCCAGCCACAGAGAAATGAACCTGTTAGTGGCTTGCTGTGTTTAAAACTTGTACAGCTGTATTGTGTTAAATGTAAACAGAATTCTACTGAGCAAAAATACCCTCATGATGTTTCCTCTCAAAGGCCTGGTTGAATGCACCTGTCACCTGGTGTAAAGAAAAAGAAGAGGCTTTGCTGCAGCATAACTGCTCTGCCTTACCTCAGCAGTATAAAACAGAGCTATCATATAGCTGGTAGAAATGGCTGTACCAAGGGTCTGTTCTAACTTGTGACTCCTTGAACTACAGTAACTGTGACTGTAAACAGTCAACTAAACCATGGGCAAACTCTGCTATCACTGAAAGCTGCAGTAAAGACAGAGAAAGGTTAACTTGATCCTAAATGAAGCCCACACAGAAGTGCTTTTCAAAAGCCAGATTTACAGTTTTGCTGCTCTGCATGGTAGCTTTTCAGCTACGAATAACACAGGTGATCAGCAAAACAGAAATGTTATCTTTTCATGAATACTCTGACCTGTGGGAATAGAATTGCAGATCTCTAGGAATTTCCTGTCTGAAAGCACTGGTCTAGCCTGACCAGTGAGCTCCTTTAAGGACTGCAGTGAAATCTATCCACTATGAAGGCATTAACAAATTCCTACTGATGATCTACAAGCACTGTTTTGACATGACTGAGAAATAAAGTCACAGGGCTATGAACAGTTAAAAGATTAACTAATCTCTGAGACAGAATGATCAAAAGAACCTTTTAGAAGAAACTTCCTGTAATGGGTGAATTTTTGACTTAAAGGGAAAAAGAAACCCAGAGGCCAGGCGAGCCTGGTGGGTGACTAAGGGGAGAGCAATTAGATACTCTGTGAGTTACTTATGCCTTCAGTGTGTTTTAAGACTTCTTTTATCTTAACTTGTGCTGAGGTAATTTCAGTTGATACTATACAGGAAACTCCAGCTCCTGGCCAGCTCTGGGAATACAGGGCACTGTGTGACTCCATCCAGAAGTCACAGCTCAAATCCTCGTGTCTGTACTTAAGAGGACCAGGAGGGGTCAGGTTTGCAGCTCTTCCTCAGCAACAGGGCTTAAGATCTGAGCCTAAACACGTTATAGAAACAATACATGTAGCTCAGATTCAGTGCCTACTACTTACTGGATTTGTTTGTAGTAGAGAAAAGGAAACCAGGCACACTTCACAGAACTTATTGATAAATCCAACCAAACAAAAACACCTTGCTCTCTTTCAGTGATACCTGGTATCAAGAGAAAAATAAATTGTTATTCTTCTGGCAAAGTATTAACAAGTCATCTCTAGGAACTTGATTCTCCACCGTGAATTGTGTGCTCAGATCTTACTGAAGAATACATCACAGAATCATACAATCAATAGAATAGTTTTGATTGGAAGGGACCTTAAAACTCACCCAGTTCCAATCCCCTGCCATGGGCAGGGACACCTTGCACTAGACCAGGTTGCTCCAAGCCACGTCCAACCTGGCCTTGAACACTTCCAGGCATGGGGCAGCCACAGGTTTTCTGGGCAACCTGTGCCAGGGTCTCAACACCCTCAGAGGGAAGAATTTCTTCCCAATATCCCATTTCCTGCTCTCTTTCAGTTTGACGCCATTCCCTTGTCTTGTCACCTGTGTCAGGAGCCCCTCTCCAGCTCTGTTGGAGCCCCTTTTGGTACTGGAAGGGGCTCTAAGGTCTCTCCAAAGCCTTCTCATCTGCTGAACAGTCCCAAATACAGACACATGAACACAGCATTTTTCAGGCTTGGTCACTGAACAGCAAACCAATCTGAGATTTTGGAAGCTTAGTCTTTTAAAAGGAAAAAACAGGACTCTAAAAAATTAATCTTTTAGGTCCTTGTTTCACACAAGTTCAAGTACTAAAAAGTAAGTTAACAACACACAGCCCGTCCTTGACAAAACACAGGACAATAAATTTTTGCCTACTGCCATTTCTAATAATTGGGGTTTTTTTCATAATCGTCAGAAAGGAGCTGATTGCCAGACTGGAACAAGTGGAAAAGGAAAGCATGGATGCTGCTCGGCTGGCTAAGGAGTATGCAGAACTGACAGAGGAGAACCGGACACTGAAGCTGGCCCAGACGCAGTGCGTGGAGCAACTGGAAAAGCTCAGGATACAATACCAAAAAAGACAGGGCTCCTCATAACTCCCAACTAGCTCATGGGAGGCAGCTCATACAGGAATGGTCCTGTGCTGGAAAGAGATTTTAAAATAAAGATCTGTTTAATATGTTGCAACACTTTACTACAGAGTACGTAGAAGTCTGAATTTGATTTAATACTTGACACCCAGTAGCTTAATATAATGGATATTTCATCCATTATATAATGAATGTGTTATTTCAAGTAACATAATTGAAGTTAAGCTATCCCCATTATATGTTCTAGTGGATCAGATTTCTTTTCTAAACATATTTCTTCCAGTTTAAGAAGATATGGACACACTAGAAAATTATATAAATAGTCTCTGTGTTGGAAATTTGGATCATACTAAGGACTGGGACAATGTTAATATATGGAATACATGTATGTTAATTTTAGTTTGGTAAATTCTTTTTAAATTATTTTCCTCATGCATAAAGTGTTTGGAAGTTATCTTGAAGCAGATCTCCTTACTAGTAAAAACTATACTTCATGTCAACTTCACACTGTTGTATAAAATCTGAAAAACTGCACATGAAAAATTGGAGTAACAAAATCATTTTTATCAAACAAGTGGACTGCAGTGATAATTTGCAAGTTATAAAATTAAAAGGAAATAGATGAGATCAAACTTTCCTTCCTTAAGTGTAAAGATTACTTGAGTGTCTTTTTATTGTACTTTTAGGCATGCAAGAAATGAAAAATTAATACAAGAATCATAATTTCATCATAGTTTCAACTGAGACTATGTCAGTAAAATTATTGTAAGGATCTTTTGTTCTTAATTTCTGGTCTATTTTGAAGCATAAGTGTTTGTAAGTAGGGACAGGAGTTCTCTGATACACAAATAACTGGGAAGTAAAATGTCAGTTTTACTTGCTCTATTTATCCCTGTATTTTCTTAGATCAACTTAAAAATCTTCATTACACTTCCATTTCTATTCATAGAGCAGTTTTTTCATTAAAAGTGGATGCAGAAAAGCCCTTTTATGTTCTGAATGTTCTCAAATCACCCTGTATTCTAAACTCTGCTTCTTAGATAGAGCTTGTTACATCTTCATGAGCTTCAAATTCAACTTAATATGTTATTAGTACTGTGTCTTAGAAATTGAAAACTATGAACTTAAGATTTGCACCAGGACTTTAGCTTTGATTATTATCATTAGTCTATCATGAAAATGGAATTTCATGTTAATCAGAACAATTCCTGGCAGCAAAGTGGACAAAAAAAGAATTACAAGCTGCTTGTAATTTATCTGTGCTAATTGCCTGCAGTATTCCCTGCAGCACAGGTGGGAAAACTGGCTCTGTGTTACTCCAAGCACCTGGTACTGCAGCAGGAGAGCATGAAGAGGTAGGAGGAGAGGACAACCTTGTCTGGAGAGCATGAAGAAGTAGCAGGAGAGGACAGCCTTGTTTCCACTTCTCCTCCTTAGCCGCCAGGGCAGTGTCAGCATCCAAACGTGGCACTGCTTCCTGCTGTACCCGGGAAATCACCGCTCTTGAGGCATGTGCTTCCCCCTGGAATGCTCCCTGAGCAGTGTAACACTGTATTTATTCCTCTTATTATCTGAGGATCCAATTTTCACTGTACCTTGTTGATAGTTGAAGAAAAAAAGAAAACAACATAGTTAATAAAAAACGGTTGGAATATTAGGCCTGGAAGTGCTGGAAATGTCTTGTTTGAGTTTGCACTGTTGGGAAACATAACTTGAAGAGAAATGAAAGCTTTGCTTTGAGCACAGAACACCACTAGAAGCTAGAATTACCCCCTTTTGCCTGTGTTTGTGTGTTTTGAACAAGAGAATTCTCATTTTAAAATAGTTTGTCATTTTAGTCAAAGGTTTTTCCATCTAGCCTTGAAAATATCATGCCGTTAGATGATTTCAGTGAATTCATTGAAAACCATATAAAGTACATAAAATTAGTTTGTTGACAGACTGTCTTTGTATGCAAATGGATCAAACAGCAGACCTTTACTTACAAATAACTATGTTCATGTTGAAATTTTCCATTTAAGCACAGTCACTATGCTTTAGATATCAGAAAAATTACAGACCATATGCTGGGAGAAAAACCTGAGAGAGAGCCACAGTCAGGTGTAGCAGGAAAGCTGGGCCTCATTTGTGTCAATCAGCACTTTGAGAATAGTCAGGGAATATGTTTTTCCTAACCTGTAGGTACTGACCAGTATAGAAGAATTCAAGAAATATTTTACAGATGCGCAGATGCCAAATTTTCGATATGGTCCAGCCTACAAGCCTGGATAAATATGACATTCTTAAACCATCCCAAACTAATTTAAGTGAAAGATTTATATTCAACTTGGACTTTAGCTATGTGCAAGCAAATTTTCCTCCTACTTTTAGTTATGGTTAAAGTATAAAAATAACAGCTTTGTATGAATGTATTTTCCTGCATGCATGCTCATGTGCCTGAGGGCAGGAGCTCAGAGAAATTGTATCGCAATACAAATGAGTAAAACTGATATAGAAGTACCAAGGATGAAAAATTAGTGTCTCTTGAAAATTATCTTTAAAAAAAAAAAAAATTGGGGGAGATGGGATTCAAAGGCAGGAAGGTAGGGAAATTGAATTTTCCAAAAATATTAATAGGCAAGTTAAATTAAAATGTGGCACAGTCAACATATTGCAGAAAATCATCCAGGTGTTGAAAAGAGTAAAGGTAGCTAGAACAACCTTCGGAGAGGTAACTGCTGTATCTATCATCCATCTCTTAATTTGTTTATCAAGAGCATAATAGTGAAAAATATTTTTACATTCAGTAAGTCTCCAATTTGGACATGCTGAGATTTTCTCTAGATACAGTGGAGCTCTGCTAACTAAATAGCTGAAATTAGGGTTTTTAATAAAGCATTTACCACACTGACCTGTATTTTCCATGTAGACAATATGGTTTGTGCCCCGGTTGAAGTGGTCTGCTTGTTAGGTCCTGTTGTATCTATCACACTATAAAAACAAGTTTTATGCAATTATTTCAAAGATGGGTTTAGAAGTTCAAAAACTTAGAAGCCACTTTTTGAAATCAAGTACCAATGAAAGGTTCAGTTTTATAACATGGGACCACAACCTGTGAGAACTGCAGTTGTACTGCAGACAAAGTGTATTTCTTGCTGTTATCCAGGTTATTCAGGTTAGCAAAAGTAAGCATGCCACTACCATGGTAAATGAATTTGCTGCAAGCCACTTAAGGCACAGTGAAGTGCATGGGTTTAAAATAAAAACAAGACCCGTGCTTTCCATTTTCTATCATTGCTAAATAACTTCCTTCCGTCGTGAAGAATGCTGAACAAACTCAATTTAAGGCTTCCAGTTAGCAAGGATATGACTCATGCGGTCTTGAAACAGCCAGAGCCAAGGGTGACTTGACGCTTGGAAAGTCTGGAAGATGAGGAGCTGTGAGTTTGAGTTCAGTGCCTTTAAAAAAAAAAAATGTTTCCCTTTTCAAAATTCCCACTATTCTGTCTGATTTTGTGAATTAATGATCTTTGGAAGTGTGTCACCTTCCACCAGAGGCTTCCATCATCTAGACCTTTGTAAAGATTACACGCTGTTAACAGTGGGGACAGGTGGGACAGAGAGATGTTCTCAGCCTTCCTTTGTGTTGTGTGGTTGGGGAGCTCTGCACATGGCCCTTTGCTCAGCCACCGGACACCTTGCAGAAATTAGCTAGTCACAGTAATAACCACAAAGCCACTTGGTGTTTTTCCCTATCTAAAATTCTTTTTTTGATCAATGCACTAAGTGGAAGCGTCTAAAGGAACAGGGGAGACTTGTCTGGAAGAGTCTTGCCTCTCTGTGGGAGGTACAAGATGTGCAATGGTGGAAGAGGGCTGCAGGAAAAGGAAGTTTGGCCCAGGCAGTGATGTAACAGGAAGAGCACTGGCCCTGTCCAGCAGGAATGTGAGGAGACTTGACAAAACCTGGGTGTTTTTGACTGTTGTCTCCCATCTTCATACTTCCACAGTCATACCTGTGCACCCACAGCTCTGTCTTCTGCCTCCTGGTGGAATGTCATGGCGTGCAGATGCGTGGGTGATATGGTGATACATATCCCTGGAAAACCCACGATGAAACTATTACCTGTCTTCATGACAGGCCTGGAAGGTGTGCAGCAATGCAAGACTAAGACTGAACAAGTACCAAAAAGCTGGGCCCTGCTGTTCATCTTGATGTACTTCTGTGGGACAAGACAAGACACCACCTGCATGACTGCACCACAGAGCACATTATGGAGGAAGGGAAGGTAGCAAAGCAGAGCTGGAGGGGCAGCCTCAACCTCTCCATTTCCTTCACTGAGTCACTTGGTTTTGCAATGTTAAACTGGGAGTTATCAAGGTGGTCTTTCAGGTGCACACCAAAACTGTGAGGCTGACACTTTAAATTCAAAGTAGATTATTTTATAAGAATGAAAAATCTACCTTGCTTGGGACAGTGCCAGTCACCTCTAGGTTCTTCAGTGCTCCTAACAAGTAATGTCATATGTTACTCATACCCATATGAATGAAAGATGACAACTATTCACAAATCACTGTTATCCTCAACCCAGGCTTCCTCTATTGCACGGTTTATTCTGTAGAAAGCACAAGATTTAGCATATGAGTCACTCTGCTTTTCTGCACACCAATTATCAGTTTTCCCTTCTAAACCCCAGTTCCTTTAATCCCCCTGACCACAATCCATCCCCACTGAGTAAGCAGAGTCAGCCTGGAGCTCAGATCCAGTTGTCTGACGGTCTTATGACATGGTCTGATGATTTCCATGTGCTCAAGGTGGTTTCCAAGTGCTACGTACAATGTTTTGTGGTTCGGTGCTGGTATGTGGCAGCAAGGAATTCTGCCAGCCTGCAGGTGTCTGCTGTGAGACATGCTTGGTTTCCTTGAACTGGTTAGAAAATATGACAATAGGTGGTCTGTGGATTTAGTTATTTGTCTTAATCTTATACTAAATTTTAATATAGGAATTAGGGAAACGAAATGAGGATGTGTGTGCTGATGTAACAAATGTGCAGCCAGATGCCAAACTGTGCTTTGGGTGATCAGAATGAGTTAAGTGACATGAGAACTTTAAGTGATGGAAAGGAAGTAGGTACAGCTAAGAAGAGGAACTGATGAGTGAGCTGTTGCCTTAACTGCTTGCTTTTTGGCTGCTTATGGCTTGCACCAATAGAATATACAGGCTGTTGTCCTTAGCTCAGCATTAAGAAGCTTTTGTTTGGATGTATCCCAACACTTTTCCAAGCCTAGTTTACACTAAATTTTTATACTGGAATATTTACTTCATTAAGGTAATGTTTTTGTCAGCTGTCTGGAATTAACAGTTATGATGTGATACAGATGTCAGAGCATTGCAGGTGGTTCTTCTACAGAAAGAGGAATAACCAGTATCAGAATATGACTATTGTGCTAATCAAGGAATCATAGAAAATCTTGAGTTGGGAGGGTCCCATAAGGGTCATTGAGCCCAATTCTATGCCAACTACTGTATTTGCATTAAAGATCAATAAAACCTTGATAAACAGCCTACATAAAGTAAAAACTGCACTGAAGCCAGGGCACTTCAGTACTAAAATAACTGCAGCCCCACTAATGGTCTTTTGCTGCTTTCACTGCACAAGCAGAGTTTGGTACTTTTATGAACTAGATCCCCAATTTCCCACATGAAGGAATAGCAGCAGCGTGATGTTCTGTGACTGAAAAACTTTCACCTCTGCCTTGTAACTTTCTTACAAGTGTATGACAAACCTCAGTGCACAACCCAGATCGCCTTGTGACCACAGATTTCTTCACAGCCATTCCATCACAGTACTCTCCCCAGCCTGGGTCTTTGATTCCTACATTCCTCTGCTGTGTGTGGACAGCTGAAATAAGTCAACCACTCTGAACTTTTAAAAGCAGTCAGAAGCAAATGCATCATTTAACATTATCTGCTAAGAAAATGTACTGTCTTGTAGTCACACCCTTTTGTATTCCTGGTCAGCAAGTACATCAGTATATATGTTTGCTGATTAGATGTCAGTACAAAAAATACCAATGTTAATAGTCATGGAAGACAGAGGCACATTCAGACATACTGCTATGAATGCTGTTCTAAACAATAGACTCACTCAAGGTGTTCCCTCCATGGCTGTGAATATAGAAGCTAGTGACTCACATATGAAGAAGTCATTTCTGATGAAATTATCTGTGCCAAGAATGTGAACACTTCTTTTTGACATAATTTCAAAAAAGGAGTATTCTTTCAAGCAAAAAACCCCAAACTACCCACATTACAGTTCCCAGCTAATATAAATTACATCCAGCTATGCACTAACTGCTAAAATTGTGCTTAAATCTATTTATAATCCTTCAAATAGCTCTCACTAATTTACATTGGTGGAACAGGCCCTTACATTTGACTGAGCTCCCTCTGGTGGGTAATGGGACATTATTATTACAAAGCAGAGATACAAAAAAAATGTACAATTATGTTTGTCCAAGTAGTTTTATTTATTTATTTATTTATTTATTTATTTATAGAAATAATTTTTTATATAACTAGGTAAAGGTCAGCATACAAATTTATCACTATCTGATCACATCTGAAACTACCCAAAGAGTGACAGCCAATATTTTTAAGATACTAGAAATACTTCAACAGAGGTGTAGTTTTCAACACCTAACACTGAACAGCACCTAACAGGAGCACCCAAG